AACGTTTCAAATACACTGTTATTTCCAGTGACAATGTATTTTTGTATTTAATAAATATTATATTGTATTCCATACAAGTTTTTTTTTATATCCATACCCCCTTTCATATGAAGAACATTTATTAAATGTTCTGAACTAAATAAGTATTAAACATTGAAAATAAATATATATTCAATATTTAAAACCAATATTGATTTTTAAAAAAAAAATCTGTCGTTACCCATATTATTTAAATGTTAGAACTTCAATATTGATTACATATAAAATGTTACTGGGGATATTGTTAAATTAACTCAACGTGGGCAATTCAGTATTTATATGGAATACCTGAACGATTAAAATATCAATTTATATGAACCAACAACAAATGTTAAAATATCAACAAATAAGCAACTTATTACAGAACAACCAAACTCAACCAAGACTCAATATCCCTTGGACCTTAATTTACCAGACTTATGTTCAATACATCATCAAGATAATTTAATAATAACTTCACAAACATGGGTTTGGATCATGAATGAATGTAAGTAAAGGACAAACGATACAGGGATCCAAAATTAATATCTGAATATTTACCGTTTGTAAAAAGAAAAATTTCACATCTATCAAAGACCTTCTAGAGAAGTTGTAGGTAAATAAAAAATTCATTGGCTTTCCTAGTTTTCAAATGAAACAGTCGGGAAACATTTATGTTATGAGTTAGAAGTACCTAGCAAAAAACAAATTCAAACAATTTTTAATGCATACCTACTTTTAAATTTTATGAAAATTAGTATTATATTGAACTGAATGAATGTACTATGAAACCAAAACAACACACAATTACTTATTAATGAAATATTTCCTGGCGTACCATCTGATGTTAATGGTGTCTTTCGATATAGAAATGGAATACTGTACTTAAAAAAAAGGATAATAAAGCAATTTCATACGAATATGATGAATTTTCTTGCTAAAAATATACTAAATATGCTAATAAAAGCTGGTCCATTTGATTCTATTACTTTCAGTATCCACTATTCAAATCTAAATATATTGGAACAATTGAAAACTTTATTAAATATACTGATGGCCTTTGACTTTGTCTCTGAATTGAGTTGATAAGGCTAGTTTTTGAAACTCATAATAATCATAATACAAAACTTCTGATGTTGAATAAGTTGTATTGTAAGTAAGTTCTAAATATGTATATTTTGAACATTCAACATTCAGAATATTCAGATAATAATAATAGATAATTACAGCTATTTTATAAAGAGGATGAATTCAAATTGTATTTCAATCTGTTAATTAGGTTGCCTATCTCGCATAGGTAGCTGGTGCGCAAATTCAAAATCAATGTCCTGATGTGTTCTGCATGTTGACATTTGGCAATTGCAATTAATTTATTTAAACGTTCTTGGTATTTCTTCTGTGATCTAATTTGAGGGTAACTAACATAAATAGACTGAATTCTTTTCCTTAAATCACTCATTATCTAACATTTTGAGTAGAATGAGTGAGAAAATACGCTAAAAGCATCTATCAGACAAAGAGAAAAAATTAGTGGAAGGTTATTTGGACAGAACTTCCCTCGTGCCTGAAGTATAATGGAGTAAGCCCTTCCCGATTTAATCGATAAAATAAATTGATTCTTTCATTAACTTTTCCAAGAAATTTAAAAACTTTTCTCATGTAATGATAAATCCCAATCATAGACTCATCATATTTTGCACTTTTCGGATACGATTTGATTTATTCAGGAAAATTTTGAGATGACGTCATCAATTTTTTGAGGGGATAAAGAAATATATTTTGATTAAAAATTTACCATGCTTACGATAAGTTTAAAACGTCTGCAAGATTTCAAAGTATTCGGTTGTGCAATTTCTGATTTAATCAATAAAACAAATTAACTCCTTTATTAATTTTTTGAATAACCTGTAGAAGAATTCTAAAAATTATGAATCGGGGGGGGGAATAAACGAAAAATGTTGCTTAACGATTTGCCATGATTTTGATAACCTTAAAATATTTACAAGGTTTCAGATCATTCGATTTTTGTAGTTTCAAAGTTAAATTACAAAATATGGTTAAATTGTTATAGACTACACAGTTTTGATTTTTTTTCCAATAATCTGGATGTCTAGGGTGAAAATCCGACACGGATTCACAAACCACAAAAAAAAGGAGTATCTTATTTTATAGGAGTATAATTTAAAAAAACTTAGTATTATAAATTTTGGAGATGACGTCATCTCATTGGTGGTGGAATAATTAGCCAAATTTTAGTTATAGTCTGGCTACCGGTATTTGGAGGTGACTACACTGCGGGCAATGCACTTAGGATGATTTATTGTTTAGCCCCGCTGTAAATGTTTCCATCAAGACTGTGTTTAAAGAAGTTTACAAATTTTGGTGTATCCGACCGTTTATTGCAGCGGGCGGTTAACCCGCTGGTAAAAGCCCTTAAGACGATTGACCCTTTTCCTGTAAGCAAAGTGAGTAGACATTATATAAATTCCAATGATACAGAGTGAGACAACATCGCGCAGGCGAAGTCAGATTTTTGGAGCGCCAAGTTAAAATTAACCAATGAGCGATAGATTACGCATGTGTAGCTGGTTGCATTCTGTCAAAGCGGTTTGTTGTCACAGGCCTTTGCTCTGCTGCCGGAGTGCCGGATACGTGGTTTTGAAGATGCGTGCGCACGGAAAGTCACTATGGAAGTTTTACGATCTTACAGGAAAAGGGTCAATTAGAGATTAGTAAAGTCACCTTCAAATATCGGTAGCCAGACTATAACATTTAACCATCTACATGATATTCCTAATATACATACAAAATTTGACAAGTATCGGTCTTGTAGTTTCGGAGATTACCTACGTCTCTAAAAGCATTTCATTTTAAATTCAGTTAGTATCAAGTGGTACACGGTATTAGTATTTTGGGTTGCGTAAAAATAATTTTCTCGTGACTAACCCTGTATACCTGACATTTTCTGTACATCAGTTGTTTATCAATTACAGGTAGCAAAAAATCGAAGAAAAAAGGTTCGGTGTTGAAGAAGAAACGAAAGATGTATTTCGATGTAGAATTAGTGTGTGCTGGTTCCAACTGTACAAACCCGAATTTTTACTGGAGAAACAAGGGTAGTAATCGAAGGTTTTCAGCCATTTCACGTACGCAGGGAATCCTATAATCATGAAGGCCCAACGCAAATCTCAGTAATCTATCTGGGAATTATACCAATCAAATTTGAGTCAACGCAACTTAAAGAGCTCTTTCGTAGAGAGATGTAAGTAAGTAAAAACAAACAGAACTTTCAATTTTGCATCTTTCCTGGTGCAGTAGTTGAGAGTGGACACCAACTTTAGAAAGAGAAAATTAGTACTACCTCATGAGTTATTACAGTATTTTGTGACGAAACTTCAGGGGACAGTGACGGTCCGGAGTTTGTAATGATAGAAACTAGTAATCATAAATAGATGGTATGCAGATGAGTTAATAATTATATGGGCACCTACTAAAACTGAGTTAACAAAAACCTACTACACTGGAAGCAGGGGCTCAAGAAATATAACATGAAGTAATGTGTACAGGAATAGAATGTGTGGAAGATGAAATAAATATTTAAAACCATCGATTCCAAAAAAGTAAAATATTTACTTCAGTTATAGAAAAACTAGACGGGACATGAATAATAGAATTGCAACAGTTAATAATAATTTGCACAAGGCGTTATGGAGAACACTTGTAAAGAAGAAAAAGTTAACAGAACAACAAAACTGAGCGTTTATTTTGACTCATTCATTAATTTTTTTGAGTGACCCTGTGTAAGCGATTCTAAGAAATATGAATGCAATGATAAACCACAAGTATGTATAAACTCATCACATTTTGCACATTGGATTTATTCAGCAAAATTTTGAAATGACATCATCAGTTTTTGAGGGAATCAATAGATATATTTTGAATAAAAATTTACCACGCTTACAATAAATTTAAAACTCGGTTTTACCATGCTTACGATACTTTTAAAATGTTTGCAAGATTTCAAAGCATTCGGTTTTGCAGATCAAAATAAAATTGCAAAATGTTGTTATCCAATTTTGATTTTTTTTCCAAAAATTTGGATATCTCGGATAAAAACGTAACACGGGTTCATAAACTACACGTGCAGGACTATGTTATTTTGTACAATTTAAAACAAATTTACTATATACAATTTTGAGATGACATTGTTGGTGGGGATGATTTGCCAAATTTTGGTTAGCGGTCTACATGATATTCCTAATTAACGAATAAAACTTGACAACAATTGGTCCAGTAGTTTGGAGATTATGTGTATAATAAAAATCCCGACAGATGGCAGAGAGAGAGAGACAGAGACAGATGGAAACGGGAGACCTATTTCTTCGTAGTCTAGGGGTTACGAACGGTTGAGAAAATATAAAGTAGGGAGTCGGTTGATGCAAGCTCAGCTGACGCTTAGGAAGTAAAAACATCGAATGTACCTACAAAAATTTTAGTAGTTGTTGCAAAAAAAAACTCTGTGTCAAAGAGTAACGGAAAACTTGTTAGATTGAGCCCAAAAATAATTTATGTAGATTAAATTTGTCACTTTTAATTATATCATATTTGCTATGCTTATGCATAAACACTGAAAATTACAACAAGATCGGTTTATGTATGTATGTACTATTTATGCTCCTAAAATTATTTTAATAATAACTACATACTACACAGATTATTGTAAGACTGAAAAATGTAAATTTTTGTTAAAATACCGTCGTCTACATTTTCTGGTTATTAATTTATTGAAGACAAAGCCCGTCCCAGCCGTATTATAAATATGTATAAAAAACGATGTGTATGTATTCACAATTTGTTTGATTTCATAATAAGCATAAACCTATCACAAAAAGTACATTCTGAAACTAGCTTAGTGCATATCACCACACAACAATAAACTTCAAGCCTCGTTCCTGCTGCTTAACATCGACTTGCCTTGCCTGTGCTTACGCTGCAGTGCAGCAGGAATGATACGGTGAGTCTGTTTCAAAGCGCGTTGAACGCTCACGCGTTAGTGATCTGTGTGGCGTTTGGTCGTCTCCAACTAGCTCTGCAATACCCAACAACCAGTCTCTCTTGAGACATCGCAGAGAAGAGGTTGTGTTGTGGTATCCACATGTACGCCTGCTGAGTGACGCACGAATTCTCCACAATGTGGCGATTGTGTTTGGTTTTGGTTACGCTAGGAATTACGATCGAAGCACAAAGAAGAAATTATCCGACTCTGCCTTGCCCTTCCAAGTGTGTATGCTTTCGAAGAACGGTGAGATGTATGCAGTTGGAGTTGACGGACATCCCAAAAGTACCACTTCCCACTGTTATGCTGTAAGTTGAAACAAAAGTCAAATGTGGTGTATTACTGCAACTGCAGGATATGTTTCGGTGTATGTATTAACACTTTAGGCAAACAAGCAAAGTCGTTAATTGCAGGAATAACAAATTTTAAAGTAGAGTGCTGCAGGGTGTTCCTATGGTGATTTGCATATGTGAGTTTGCATGTTTCAAACAAATCGAAAAAAACTCTCAGACACGAAAACTGGAGAATAGTTGAAAATGGAAGAAATAAAATTTAACGAAAAATTTTTACAATAAAATAAATAATGTTCTAAATATAAAATGTACAACGTTTCTGATAAGCTACAGATGTCCAGTGTACATAAACAAAAATTACTGTTGAAGCGTTTTGCAAATTATCCTATTGTACGTATGTATATTCATTTTTAAATCGAAAATAAAAATTACTTTCCACATCCATTTCAGTGTATCTTCCCTTCAGTTTTAAAAGCCTAGATATTATTATTGGTAGAGCTTCTCTAAAATTATTTACACTCAGGATAAAAGGCAAACCCTAAACAAAGTTTGCTGCTATTTAGCAGCAAAATCTAACATCTAGCTGTCCTGCTTTGATATGGAATTTGAATTTGGAAGTAAAGTAAAATTTACAGAAATTTGAAAATAAGATATATATTATACAACAATAACCCACAAGCAACACAAAAGTTACTGGACACTTGAAAAACAATGTCAAAAAAAAAAATAGTGGAGCCGAAATTGTTAAATTTATCAAATATTTGATGCTAAAATTTGAAAAAAAGTTCAAATTATTCCAGTTATGCACACTTTAAATAGAAAAATCCAGTATTGTTTTAGAATCAGCGAAAACGAAAATGCTATTACTTTAGAATTAATATTGGTTAAAAAAAATTTGAAGATAACACGTAGATTTACCGAAGTTTAGAATAAACCTTCGACTGATGCTATGGAGTGCTTATCAATTTTCTAGGATCTAGTTAAACGTTGATAAAAATCAACGAAATAACGAAAATTGTATTGTAAAAAGGAAACTCGAAAAAACGCCCGAAATCAGTTAATCAATTCAGGATGAAGATGTAACAAAACTCTCGGACCAAGAACATTCCAATTTTATTCGTATGATAAATCTTAGAAACTGACATTTTCCAGCTCAATTTTAAAAGAAAATGAATAATAATTAATAGCATATTATGCAACAAGTTTTATAAACGCTTCTTTAGCCACGAGTTTACTTAAGCACGAACAGAGCGAATATTTAAAGAACGCGTATCTAAAGAAATTTGTAAACGTGTTTTTCTACGACTACAAATTAAAACCACAATTATATCGAAACTCTGAAATTGATCACCCTAATATGCTTTTTACCTATACTAGTAAATATTTCTTCGCACCTGCTTCTTTACAAAATATGTCTTTTTTTGGCTCTGTATCTTTCTAACTTGCGCTTCAGGTAAGTTGGTAAGTTTCCAAATTTTTTTTCAAAAATTTCATACAGCCCAAATGATCAAAACCGTTTGCTTTTCTACGCTTAATAATAATCATCTAAACTTCCGTCATCAACTTCTCAAGTAGTAAGGTTGAAATTTTAGCTTATGCTCTTCTCTCCACATCTGATGAGATATATTTCAAATAGTTTCATCTGAAAAAAAGCCTCGGTAAACTTTGATTTTAAGTGAAAATTGCAAAAAAAAGCTACACGTGTAGCATGTGTGTTGTTTTTCTACTTGTTGTATTAGTGTATTACCTAACTCTACATTCGCCTCGTTGGATAACCCTTAAGACTCATAAAAAAATATTAATCATTTTACACCTTGTTGTACAAATAATTGTTGTCGGTTCGAGAGGTTTTATCAAATTCACTTTTTTTCAGATTTATTTTATATTTTATGAACAATTGATGTTTTACCTATACATATCAAAAGAAATATGTATTGATTATAAATGTATTTTAAATTAAGAAATTCAAAACAAATTGTTTTATTAAATTATTCATTAAATATAAAAGTTGTCTAATCATTTAAAAAAGACGTATAGCTTACCAAAACGGCCGGTAACATTACACGCAAAAAATATTTACCGCAATTTTGATAATAAAGAAGTTCATGAGAGTTCAAGTAGCGTTGTTGGAAGCCGACTGTCGCAAAGTGTTTCACTGTTATTTTTTGCTTTATCTTATAAATACACTCTGGATCTTTTTTTAACGGAGGTCATATGATCGGTCAAAAATTTGGTAGAAGAACCACTTTTCATGAAAATGCACTAGTCAAAAGAGAGATAAAAGGATCATTTTCAGAATAGACTTTATGTGTTTTAGTTAATTTATTCAAACAGATTTAGAGCTGTTCAATAGATTTATTGCCTAAGTGAGCCAGATTGTAAAACCGTAAACCTTTTAAGGTAAAGTGCCATATGGATATTAAAAGCTAAAACCGGTCTTTTGTATGCGACACGTGGCCATCCTCGACTATGCAAAACTCTTTTAGGTAGTTCTGCTTACTTTCGGTTTTATTTAACCAAAATTGCCAGCGTATAGTTTTTTTGTGCAATTATTCAAATTGACGAATATTTGAAAACCATTTGCTGCTTGGGAAATTACTTAGCACATTTTACACTTGTCGATGTTATTGAGTAGAACAACAGATAAAAAAATAATGGGTTGAAAATTTATCAGTTGTATAGATCGCTACCATATTAGGTCAGCTTGTTAATCTAACATCAGTACCTAAATTTGGTATAGTAAGCAGGTAAATATTATCACAGAAAATACATTTATACTTCTTTGTTGTACTGTGTCAGGTCGTCCTTCAGACATGCTGTAATAAAATTCCATTGCTTTTATTTGAGATAAATAATATTTCTCCCAACTGGTGACAAAATAATGAATAAAATTCATAAAAACTTTGTGTCGCAAAAGTAATGAGAAAAAGCAAACACAGCCACTTAGAAATTTTATTTCCGTCTAAAAACGTTTTTTATGATGTGATTCTCCACGTATCGTAACAATCATATTTTTTGATATGATAATTTTTTCAAATTAAAATTTTTAGATAATTTTATTTTAACATTAAACAACAAATATTAAATGTCCATTTTGGAAGAGATCCCTGCCCACAGTCTTTATGAAAAATTCGATTCAAAGCTTTGACTACTGACATTTTCAGTCTTATATTTATCAGCTCACTGTTTCTGCATGCTGTAAAGAGAGCAAATATTAAAAGCTAACAACAAACATATTTTAAGAGTTTTGCTTCTGTACTTAAAACAAATAATTGGTCTTTATCGCTATTTAGTATTTACTTGTGATTTAAAGCCCCAACCGGAACTTGTTCCATTGTTTTTTCGTTAACACTTTAGCACTCTTGCCTTTTTGAATGCATAACCCATACAAAGATCTTGCTTCCAATAATTTTAAGTATTGCTAATCTCAATAAATTCAATACAATATGACCACATAGTAAACCTGTTTATGTTCTTTTTGATTTCGTAAATGCACCAAGTTCGTAAACAACACCTCACTTCGTTCACGCTGATAGCGATCGTAATGTTCTCCGTTACGAAAACTTCCGACAGCGTACACTGTGGTATTCAGTATCATCAAATTTCGACTTGACAACGAAGCTCAATGAGGCCCGGAAAGTATTTTACAGATTAATTAATTTTTGCTCTTAATTATTTTACCTACAGCAAACTGCTGAAGGGAAAATTTAAAGGGAAGTTAACTGATTTCTGTCTCTATATGGATTGGGTCTGTTGGGAAAATAAACCTACCTATTATTATTATTAAAGTTGTCTTTGAAAGTCGCTCTTAATTGATTTCCGTCTTAATTTTGCAAAATTTTTTTTGTCTTTACCTGGAAATCATCAGAAGTTATGGATATCAAAACCGATGCATTAATTCCTACCAAAAAGTTGATCAAAAAAAAATCTAATTACATGTAGTTAAAAAATACAGTCAAACAAGTGGGCAAAGTAAAATGGTGAAAATGGGTAGATCTACCTACTCTTTCAAAGAACGATGATGAAATAAAACTTGTTTTTTTTTGTTTATCTATGTTATGACTAAATAAATTTGAATATCATATTTATTTTTAATGACGACGGTTGGTTAAAAAACAAACGACCACTTAAACTATTGTTGCACGTATTGATTAAAATTACACTTACACGAGTTAATTTCAATTCTTTATTAAAGATGCTGCAGCAGGTTCCAAAAATAATGTAAATGACCTGCCTATAAAAATAACTGCTTACTATGGCGGTCAATATTTACCACCCAAATCGTGACTCCCCATTTTAATCTGTTTAGTTAAGCTCTGCAACGCTTTAGTTCTGGTTACTTATTAGAGCTACTCTGGGCTTTATTTTCATAAAATTTAATTTTCATGAAATCAGTTCTTCTCGAATGGTTTCACATGGAATGAATTTTAATAATGTTTAATAAAACTTGTTTATAATCTTTAATGAAATCTTTATTTTTTGCATTAAATGTATTTTATATACCTACCACGCAAAAACATTGTGTCATGGGCTCTTAAAAACTGTTGTTTGCAAATAGATAGATGCTACATGGTCTGAGTTGTTAACATCTTTCTTCAATATAATCGTCTACCAGATGATAAAGTCATGTTCGAAAGACATGAAGAATTCATCAAGTGAATTCACGTCTTACATATTTATTAACAATTGCGACAGTGTTATTCTACCTATTCTTAGAAGATTTGTAAACGAAAAATGTGTTAATGACGCTATGACTGCATCATCGTTTATAAAATGGATACTAAAAATTGTATGCATAGGTGTAGTTATATGGTATAGGAAAATTGTTGCCGAATGCTTAAAGACAAGTTGAAACCTGAAAAAAAATGTAGTATTTATGCAACCTGATTTTTTTTAATATTAATAAAATATTTTATTGTTGAATTCCAAAAACCTGCGAAAGCTTAAGTAACATCTGATTGCAAAAGAAAACAGGCTACTGCTATAAATTTAGTACATGATTCCGAGTGCAATAT